TCACTGCAGGCTCTTTTACAATAGGGGTCAGCAAACTTTTTCTGTAAAGGGGCAGATAGTAAACATTTTATTCATTCATTCATTCATTCATTCATTCATTTATTTATTTATTTATTTATTTATTTATTTGAGATTGAGTCTTGCTCTGTCGTCCAGGCTGGAGTGCAGTGGCATGATCTTGGCTCACTGCAGCCTCTGCCTCTGGGTTCAAGAGATTCTCATGCCTCAGCCTCCCGAGTAGCTGGGACTACAGGAGTGTGCCACCACACCTGGCTAATTTTTATATTTTTTAGTAGAGACAAGGTTTCACCAAGTTGGCCAGGCTGGTCTCGAGCTCCTGACCTCAAGTGACCTGCCTGCCCTGGCTTCCCAAGGTGCTGGGATTACAGGTATGAGCCGTTGCACGTGGCTATGATAGTAAACATTTTAGATCTTGCAGGCGATATGGTCTCTGTCACAGCTACCCAAGCCTGCTGTTGCAGAGAGGACTCAGGACAGACGCAGTGTAAATGTATGGGCCTGGCGGTGTTCCACTCAAGCATTATGGACACTGAAATTTGAATTTCATATAATTTTCATGTGTCACAAAATAGGATTTCTCTTTTGACGTTTCCCCCACGCATCTTAAAAAAAGGTACAAACCATTCTTATCTTGCAGTCAGGCCAGATGGAAACAGGCAGAGGTCCAAATTTGGCCCATGAACTGCAGTTTTTATGCTTCTAAATTTAGAACATGAGTTTTTGCATTCTTAGTTTTGATTCAGCTGAGATGGATGATGTGTATAATGGTAAGTACTTGTTTTTCTAGGTGGATCTTAGCGGTAGAGGTGAATTATTTATATCTTCAGTTCATAGCACCCTGTCCTTACTGGTCCCTTCAAGACCCCCCTCTCTTGTGTGTTTGTGTATTTATTAGTTCCCTTTAATCATTCTTTTTTTTGGAGACAGAATCTCACTCTGTCACTCAGGATGGAGGGTAGTGGGGTGATCTCAGCTCACTGCAACCTCCGCCTCCTGGGTTCAAGTGATTCTCCTGCCTCAGCCTCCTAAGTAGCTGGGATTACAGGTGTGTACCACCACGCCTAGCTAAGTTTTGTATTTTTAGTAGAGACAGTGGCGGGGGGGATTTCACAGTATTGGCCAGGCTGGTCTCAAACTTTTGACTTCAAGCGATCTGCCTGCCTTGGCCTCCCAAAGTGCTGGGATTACAGGAGTGAGCCACTGTGCCCTCCTTTTTTTTTTTCTTTTTTTTTGAGACGGAGTTTTTTCTTTTGTTTGAGACAGAGTTTCGCTCGTCACCCAGTGCAATGGTGCGATCTCCGCTCACTGCAACCTCCACTTCCTGGGTTCAAGCAATTCACCAGCCTCAGCTTCATGAGTAGCTGGAATTACAAGGGCTGCCACCACGCCCAGCTAATTTTTGAACTTTTAGTAGAGGTCGGGTTTCACCATGTTGGCCAGGCTGGTTTTGAACTCCTGATCTCAGGTGATCCACCCGCCTTGGCCTCCCAAAGTGCTGGGATTACAGGCGTGAGCCACTGCACCTGGCCAGGTATCTTTAACTTATCTAAGTGGCGTTGTGTGACAGAGCTCATCCCCATTTTTCCACTCAGTAATGTCTTTTAGAGATATCCAAGTTGCCATGTGAACATTGAGTCCTTGCTCCTCACTAGTGTGTAGTTCTCCATGGGTGGCCCACTGTCTTTTACTTCATTTTCAAAACGAAGTTTTCTTGAGTGGAGTATGTATTGAGCCTGAGCATAATTTGTGTTGTGCTTGGGAATATGTATCTCTCTCTTTCTTTGTTTTGAGATGGAGTTTCACTCTTGTTGCCCAGGCTGGAGTGTAATGGCACGTTCTTGGCTCACGGCAACCTCTGCCTCCCGGTTCAAGTGATTCTCCTGCCTCAGCCTTCTGAGTAGCTGAGATTTCAGGCACCTGCCACCACGCTTGGCTAATTTTCAATTTTTTCTAGAGAGAGGCTTTCTCCATGTTGGTCAGGCTGGTCTCAAACTCCCAACTTCAGGTGATCTGCCCGCCTTGGCCTCCCAAAGTGCTGGGATTGCAGGTGTGAGCCACTGCACCCGACCTGGAAATATGTATCTCTTGCTCTTACAAAGAATAGGCAATTTGGCTGAGTGTCAAAAAAAAAAAATTACAGCTTTTTCCTTCCAAACTGTAAATAAATATTTAAAAATTATTTAAAATTTGGTTTAATTTGTATTTATTTTTAAAATTTAGATTCTTTAAAAAAATTGTTATAATTTACCCTTTCAGTGTTTACTTCTGTGAGTCGTAATGAACACATATAATTGCAGAACCGTTGCCACAAACAAGATGTAGAAGAGTAAAGGGGGCAGGCACGGTGGCTCACACCTGTAATCCTAGCACTTTGGGAGGCCAAGGTGGGTGGACTGCCTGAGCTCAGGAGTTCAAGACCAGCCTGAGCAACACGATGAAACCCTGTCTCTACTGAAATACAAAAAATTAGCCGGGGCGTAGTGGCATGCACCTGTAGTCCCAGCTACTCAAGGGGCTGAGGCAGGAGAATTGCTGGAACCTGGAAGGTGGAGGTTGCAGTGAGCCAAGATAGCGCCACTGCAGTCCAGCCTGGGCGACAGAGAGAGACTCTGAGTTTACCCCTGAAATTCCCCATGCCTCTTGGTAGTGAGTCCCTCTCCCCAACCCCTGTGACAATCCTGGATCAATTTTCCGTGCTCTGGTTATGTCTGTTCTGGAATGACATGTAGATGGAACATACAGTATGTGGCTTTTTGGGTATGACTTTTTCACTCTTTTTTTGGTAGATAACAGAATACTTTTTCTGCCTGAACTATTGTAATATTGTAAATTATTTTTTGTCATTGTAATATGTTCTGAATTAATGCAGCATGGGGCTGGGTGTGATGGTGCATGTCTGTAATCCCAGCACTTTGGGACGCTGAGGTGGGAGGATCCCTTGAGCCCAGGAGTTTGAGACCAGTCTGGGCAATATGGCAAAATCCTGTCTCTACTAAAAATATGTAAAAATTAGCCAGGCATGGTGGTGCGCAGCTGTGGTCCTAACTATTCGGGAGGCAGAGGTGGGAGGATGACCTGAGCCTGGGGAAGTCGAGGCTGCAGTTAGCCGTGATAGTGCCACTGCACTCCAGCCTGGACAACAGAGTGAGATCCTGTCTCAAAAAGAAAAAAAAAAAAAGCAGCATGTTCTGTGTGAGGGCTCCTCTCATTGGTATTTATGTGGAGCAGGTGAGCTCCTTGGCTCTGCATTTTGCTGGCTGCTTGTTACTCGACGTGGTCTTACTGACGTCCACACCACCTCCTTTTCCAACCTGCAGTCTCCCTCAGGGCTGGGTACCTGCCCAGTTTTCATGTCCTCGTCTGTTTGAGGAGATCCCTGTTTAAATTCCTTTTTGGGATTCTTGAATCCCCCAAACAATGAATACTCCTTTTTTCCTGGAAAACAATGGGATTCATAAATCATGACCATTGCCCATTGTTCTGAAATAGGTTCTTAGTAAGAACTGGGTGCCCTCTATTTTGGAAGATAAATTATATTTACTGCAACAAAAGAGCATGATTTATCTGTAAAATTCCCTGCCACGTGTGCTACCTGTTTGTAGTTTTCATGTTTCTGTGAAATAATAAGCGAATTGGCCCTTGACCCTCCTTCATAGGCTTTATAGAGTTGTGATTGGCTATTACCCACTGTCCATCATTTGTGCCCAGGGGAGGTTATCCAAGGATGAGTCCCCCCATGCCTCATCCTTGATGGAATCTCTCTGGTAGGCCCACCAAGCTTGGTGGTGAGATGTCGGCAAACCCCTACAGACCTGCCCCTAGGTACAAGCAAGCCAGAGCCCCCACCCTATATCTTCACTGTTCTGAGGGCAATTCAGCACTAACTGTAGCTGAAGACTCCAGCAAAAGATGAAGGGGCCAGAACACCCCCTGATGGGCTGTGTCTCTAGGTGTTCTAAAAGCTTGATTTCTTTGCTCATTAAAGGTGTTTAAAGTTGGCCTGGACCAGAGAAGGTTGTTACCCCTGATTCTGGTGAGAGTCAGAACTCCCCCTCCCCCAGCACTTAGTGCAAGGTCTGATGCTGGGATGTGGATAATATTGGATGGACATGATCTTGAACCTCTCTGAAGTTTTCTCAAACTCTGCCCCATGCTCCCCTAACAGGGTGAGAACATTTACTGTGCCCTCCCTACTTTCCCCTTCCCACACACGCACTCCCTCCCACGCACATACTCACACTCACACGTAGTCTCACACTCCTGCATCCACCCTCACACACATACTCAATGTGCACTCACACACCTCAGTATCAGGCTGAGCTGCCAGGGGCATTACTGCTGGGGACTGATATCAGTTCTCCATCAGGCCCAGGCCAGGGTGGGGAATGTCTGTGGGATGCCCTCCAGATCTGGCAGCCTCTGGCCTGGACCCCAGATGGGCAGCTCTATCACATAACTGGTGGTGTTTCTGTAACAGTTGATGGTCAAACTGGGCTGGGAATCAGCCAGCGGGGCATTCAGTCCCGGCCAGGTCACTCATGAGCTATGTGTCTTTGCACAAATTCTTTTGCATTTCTAGGCCTTGATTTCCTCATCCATAAAATGGGGTTCATTGCTGGATGCTTGTGTGGATTTATTGAGCCATCTTATAAAACACTGAGTGGAGTGCTTGGCTCAGAGTAAGAGTTCAGTAAAGAATATTCCTAGAAATAATAAGGCAGAGACTTCAGCTCATGAGGAAGCCTTTTAGATTTGCACTTGGCAGTTTGTATTGACAGAAGACAGGCCTGTGGTGCATGCAAGTCTGGGTCACAAGCTTGTGAAGTTGGACTGGCATTGGACCTGGCAGGGCAGGGCTCAGGACATGTGTTCTGTTGAGCTCATAGCTGGGCACCACTCAGCTGCACCTTCCTAACTGAGCCCTGCCTTGGTTCTACAATCTCATACTGCCTCTAACAGCCCTGTTCTTGGTTTTGCAGCCAGAGCCGAAGCCTGGAGACCTGATTGAGATATTTCGCCCTTTCTACAGACACTGGGCCATCTACGTTGGCGATGGATATGTTGTCCACCTGGCCCCTCCAAGTAAGGGCACACAGGACCTCCACTGTGCTGGGCCCCAGGGGCTGGGAAGAGAGGGACTGGGGAACTGTGGGTAACAGGTGACCCCGACATTCTTCTTGCTTCTCTACTGCAGTTGTCTCTGAGTGCTACAAGAATCTTGATGAGGGGCAGTTTGGTATGGGGCCGTGCGTTCAAGGTCTGCTCCTTGGAACCTCCGGGGGTCCTTCTTCTTCTTCTTTTTTTTTTGAGACAGAGCCTTGCTCTGTAGCTCCAGCCATCTGCTAGAGTGCAGTGGTGCGATCTGGGCTCACTGCAACCTCTGCCTCCCAGGGTCAAGTGATTCTCCTGTCTCAGCCTTCTGAGTAGCTGGGATCACAGGTGCATGCTGCCACACCTGGCTAATTTTTTGTATTTTAGTAGAGACAGGGTTTCACTGCACCTATGCTGGTCTTGAAATTCTGAGCTCAGGCAATCTGCCTGCCTTGGACTCCCAAAGTGCTGGGATTATAGGCATGAGCCACTGCACCCGGCCTGGAACCCCAGGGGTTCTTTAGAGTAGGGGTCCCCAGCGTTCAGGCCATGGACTGGTACTGGTTAGGAACTGGGCTGCACAGCAGAAGGTGAGTGGTGGGCAAGTGAGTGAAACTTCATCTGTATTTACAGTCGCTCCCCATTGCTCTCATTACCACCTGAGCTCCACCTGCTGTGAGATCAGCAGCAGCATTAGATTCCATAGGAGCACAAACCCTACTGTGAACTGCACACACCAGGGATCTAGGTTACACACTCCTTATATTAGTCTGTTTTTACACTGCTATAAAGGACTACTTGAGACTGGGTAATTTATAAAGAAAAGAGGTTTCATTGACTCACAGTTCTGCATGGCTAGGGAGGCATCAGGAAACTTACCATCATGGCGGAAGGTGAGGGGTAGCAAGACAGGTCCTATATGGTGGCAGGAGGTGGGGGAGTGCCACACTTTTAAACCATCAGATCTTGTGAGAACTCACTCATTATCACGAGAACAACATGGGGGAAATCTGCTCCCACGATTCCCACTTCCCACAAAAGTCCCTCTCCGACACGTGGGAATTAAAGTTTGACATGAGATTTGGGTGGGGATACAGAGCCAAACCATATCACTCCTTATGAGAATCTAATGCCTGATGATCTGTCACTGTCACCCGTCACCCCAGATGGGATTGTCTAGTTGCAGGAACAGGGCTCCTAATGATTCTGCATTATGGCAAGTTGTATGATTATTTTATTATATATTACAATGTGATAATAATAGAAATAAAATACACAATAAATGTAATGTGCTTGAATCATCCTGAAACCATCCCTCCCCGCTGCCCAGTCCATGGAAAAATTGTCTTCCATGACACCAGTCCCTGGTGCTAAAAAGGTTGGGGACCGTTGCTTTAGAGGGATTGAGGGGGCATCTGAAGGAGCAGCTCTGCTTTGATGTGTTTTTTATGCTGTGACTTTGTATGCAACACACTCAACTCTTAAGCTTAAAACTCATGGGAAGAGTGCAGGTGTCTGGGCAGAGAGACTTGATTATGAATCCAGTTTCTCTTCTTCAGCCTTGGTTTCCTTTGCAAACTGAGGATATGAATACTTAACTTGGAGAACTCTTGTGAGAATTCCAATTCCTCACCCTTTTCTTTTTCTTTTTTTTTTTTTTTTGAGACGGAGTCTTGCTGTGTCGCCCAGACTGGAATGCAGTGGTGTGATCTCAGCTCACTGCAACCTCCGCCTCCTGGGTTCAGGTGATTCTCCTGCCTCAGGCTCCCGAGTAGCTGGGACTACAGGCACCCAACCAGCTAATTTTTTGTATTTTTATTAGAGATGGGATTTCACCATGTTGGCTAGGCTGGTCTTGAGCTCCTGACCTCAGGTGATCTGCCTGCCTCGGCCTTCCAAAGTACTGGGATTACAGGCATGAGCCACTGCACCTGGCCCTCTCACCCTTTTCCTATGCTTTTAACTTCAACTGCGGTATAACATAAATATTGTAAAATGTACCAGCATAGTAAAGTATACATTCAGTGAATTAAAAAAAAAAAAAACCTGGCCGGGCGTGGTGGCTCACGCCTGTAATCCCAGCACTTTGGGAGGCCGAGGCGGGTGGATCACGAGGTCAAGAGATCGAGACCATCCTGGTCAACATGGTGAAACCCTGTCTCTACTAAAAATACAAAAAATTAGCTGGGCATGGTGGTGCGTGCCTGTAATCCCAGCTACTCAGGAGGCTGAGGCAGGAGAATTGCCTGAACCCAGGAGGCGGAGGTTGCGGTGAGCCGAGATCGCGCCATTGCACTCCAGCCTGGGTAACAAGAGCGAAACTCCGTCTCAAAAAAAAAAAAAAAAAACCCATCCAAGTTACAATGCCCCAGATGAACTTCTAGAGCGTTTCCATGGTGCCACTTACCCTGAGAGGCTCTCTCTTGCCTCTACAATGTCCTCTCCCCACCCCTCGCCCCAGGCAACCACCATTCTAGCTTTCCCTGCCATAGATGAGTTCTGTCCGTTCTAGAACTTCATAGAAGAGGAGTCACACAGCCTGTGCTCTTTTGTGTCTGGCTTCTTTTAGCAGACATCATGCCTTTGTGAGTCATCCATGCTGCTGTGAGTAGTGGGAGTTCTTTTTCATTGCTGTGTATTTTCTGTTATATGAATATGCTACAATTTATCATCCATTTTTCTGATGCCAGGCTCATTGCAAGTTTTGACTGCTATGAATAGACCTGCTACGAACATTCATTTTTTTTTTTTTTTTCCCTGAGACAAAGTCTTGCTCTGTCGCCCAGGCTGGAGTACAGTGGCACGATCTCGGCTCACTGCAACCTCCGCCCCTGTGTTTAACCAATTCTTCTGCCTCAGCCTCTGGAGTAGCTGGGATTACAGGTGCGCATCACCACGCCTGGCTTAGTTTTGTATTTTTAGTAGAGACAGGGGTTTCACCATGTTGGCCCAGCTGGTCTCGAACTCCTGAACTTAAGTGATCCACCCTCCTTGGCCTCCCAAAGTGCTGGGATTACAGGCCTGAGACACGGCACCTGGTCCTTGAGCATGTCTTTTGTGTACCCCTTTAATTCTAAGTAGTGGCCTCACCTATCAGAAGTAACCAGAGTCTCTGTGTCTCTACACCCTATCAGAAGTCACCGGAGTAGCTGTCATCTTCCCCACGCTGAGCCTCTTACCCGTGTGCCCCCAACCCCCTCCTCTTCCTTTCATAAGCACTTTGCTCCTCAAATTCCCCGCCTCCTTCTGTATTGTCATTTTTTCCCTCCCAGCTGAGTCATTCCTGTCAACATAGTGACAGCTGTAATATCTCCGGTTGATCAGACCAACACCCTGCCTCACGTCCTTCCCTGGTTAACGCCTCACAGCACAGATGACATCACAGCTTTGTCGGCTCCTCACTTCCCATTCTGCCTCTGTCCCCTCTACTCACACCCATTTTTTTCTTTTCTTTTTTTTTTTGAGACGGAGTTTTGCTCTCAGACTCTCTTTCTTTCCCCCGCTGCCAGAGCAGGTCTCAAGGGTAGGAAAAGGCTTTTCCACATCTTGCCAAAGCCGAGTCCTGTCACAGCTGACTCGGCTTCTCTGCAGCCTTGGACGCGAGTGACCTCCCTGCTGTCCACCTGGCACCTGACTTTCCTCCTCTCCCGCTGGGCCCTTTTTTCTTGGTCTCTTGTGTGGGTTCCTCCTCCTCTCCCACGTCCCTACATCAAGCTCCGGTGACCTCACTGGGTTTCTTATCTTCCAATGCCTTCTATTTGTTAATGTCTCTTAACTCAAACCCTCAATTTAGATCCCCCCTCAGCTTCAGACTTGCATAACCTCCTACTTGGTAACTGCTCTTGGGTGTCCACCTGGCATCTTGAATTTGCCGTGTCCCAAATGGGAGGCTCCAGTGGAAGACGCCATTCAGCGGCTCAGGCCTAAAGCCTAGGAGTCGTTCTTGATCCTTTACAGCCCATGTCTAATCCATCAGGGAATCCTGTTGACTTCATCTCTGAAACAGACCCAGCTCTGTCCACTTCTTACCATCCCCACTGCAGGGCCCCTGGTGTAAGTGACCGCCCTCCCTCGCCCGGCGCCACTGCCACTTCTGTCTGGTCTCTCTGCCTCTTGCCATTCACGGCCAGTTCCTCATTCATGGGCAGCTGGTGTGATTGTTAGAAAGTGTAAATGGGGCCGGGCACGGTGGCTCATGCCTGTAGTCCCAGCACTTTGGGAGGCTGAGGCGGGCAGATCACCTGAGATCAGGAGTTTGAGACCAGCCTGGCCAACATGGTGAAACCCGGTCTCTATTAAAAATATAGAAACTTATCTGGGCGTGGTGGTAGGCACCTGTAATCCTAGCTACTTGGGAGGCTGAGGCAGGAAAATCACTTGAACCCGGAAGGTGGAGGTTGCAGTGAGCTGAGATTGTGCCACTGCACTCCAGCCTAGGTGACAAGAGCGAAAGTCCATCTTAAAAAAAAAAAAAAAAAAAAAAAAAAAGAAAGTGTAAATCGAGGCCGGGTGTGGTAGCTCACACCTGTAATCCCAGTATTCAGTATTTTGGGAAGCTGAGGCGGGTAGATTGCCTGAGATCAGCAGTTGGAGACCAGCCTGGCCAACATGGCAAAACCCCGTCTCTATGAAAAATACAAAAATTAGTTGGGCATGGTGATGCACCAGTGTAGTCCTGTCTCCTCGGAGGCTGAGGCTTGAGCAACCGGCAGAGGCTGCAGTGAGCTGAGATTGTGCCACTGCATTCCAGCCTGGGTGACAGAGTGAAACCCGTCTCAAAAAAAACCAAAAAAACAAAACCAAAACAAACGGAAACAAAACAAAACAAAAAAGTCAGTGCTTTGCCCTGTAGGGCCCGGCCTGGTCTGTGTCTTTGGGACTCGTCTTTCTCCTCCCCCTTCCTGGGTGTCCAGACTGCAGCCATGTTGGTGTGCCGCGCTGCTTCTCCCTGCAGGCTTTGTTCCTGCTGTTCCTTCTGCTCTAGATGCTTCATCATTCAAGCCTCAGCTCAGACGCCCTTTCCTTGGGGTGTCCTCCCAAGGAAAGGACAGATCCAGGTGATGCAAGGAAAGGCTCTGGCAGCCTCTCCTGGGAATCTTCGCCGTGTCACTTCACTCTGTCTTTCCATAGTGTCTGTTGGTACCTGCAAGTATCTTATTTTGTGTATTTGTTCACTGTCCGTGTCTTCTCAGTAGCGTGGGAGTTGCTTGAGGGCAGGCCTGCTGTCCAGGTGATGTCACTGACTCCAGCACCTTGCACAATTCCTGGCACCTAGTAGGGCCTCAGTATATTGATTGGCTGCACTGAGCAGGTGTATGTGGTAGATAGAGGGTGGGGGAAGGACTGACAAGCACCCATGTGGACAGGGGACAGGTGTGTCACAGATCATTGGGTCAGTGATGCTTCTTCACAGGAAAAGATGCTTCTACCTGCATCTCACTTGAGCTTCACAGGAGTCATGTGGGATAGATAAGGCAAGGAGGACTGACCTCCTGCTACTGAGAACATTGTAGAAATTAGAGTTGGGAGGAAGCTTATGGGCTTGCTGAAGTGCCCACCCTGTGCCACACACCAGTGAAAGCATCTTCTGTGGCCAACCCCTTTAATCCTCACAGCTACCCATGCAGAAGGGACTATTTCTGTCCCTATCCTACAAGGAACTGGGGCTCAGAGAAGTTAAGAAGCATGCCCAAAGTTGCATAATGGGTAAGGGGGCAGGCAGGACCCGAACCCAGGCAGTCTGGCTTGATTCTGTGCCCTTAGCCACAATGCTGCACTGCCCAGTCCATGCTGTCCCCAAATCCAGTCACTGATTGATTGCCATATCCACATGCCCTTTCTGCGACTGTTCACTTCATATTTTCTTTAGTAGACTTTTTTTTTTTTTTTTTTTTTTTTTAGTAGACTTTTTAAAAGAAGGAACTTTAGGCTGGGTGTTATGGCTCATACCTGTAATCCCAGCACTTTGGGAGGCCGAGGTGTGTGGATCACTTGAGTTCAGGAGATCAAGACCAGCCTGGCCAACATGGTGAAACCCCATCTCTACTAAAAATACAAAAATTAGTTGAACGTGTTGATGTGCCTCTGTAGTCCCAGCTACTCAGGAGGTTGAGGCACAAGAATCGCTTGAACCCAGGAGAAGGAGATTGCAGTGAGCCGAGATCATGCCACTGCACTCCAGCCTGGGCAACAGAGCGAGACTCTGTCTCAAAATAAAAAAAAAGAAGGAACTTTAAATTACTATATTGATATGTATTTGTGCATCAATTTTAGTGTATATTTGGGGATTTCTGGAGCAAAGTAAAGTGACAGCTCCAGATCACTCAGCTGGTCAGTGATGTGCTGAGGTCAGAACCCAGAGCTTCTGACTGCCAGCTTGAGCACAGGGTACCCGTGTTCTGGGTGGCATCTAGATACAAGTTTAAGGATGTCCTCACTCTTGGTTGTTGACTCTGCACTTGCGTGGCCCTGAGATTTGGTACCTCCTTTAATTTTGGGCTCTAGGCAACTTGCTTGCCTCCTGTGAGTCCCAGCGCTGTCACTTTGCCCGGGAGCTGAGGCTGGGTGGGCCTCAGGAGCTCATCCTCCCACAGAGTCAGCACTCAGATAAGGCACCCTCTCTTTGATTTCCTTCAGTGACTCCTCCAAGCACCACATGCCCTATTCCTAGCAAGTCTGAATTCCCTGAGTTTCTGATATCTTGGCATTACACTCAGGCGGAAAAGGTTTAGTGGTCTTTGGAAAGCTGAGCAGAGCAGGACCTGGAATCTCATCAGCCTTTCCTATCGATGCTTGTTGCTGTCACATGGATGCCACTGTTGAAGACTGGTCCTGCCTAGTATAATAGGGTGCTGCTGTGGCTCCCTGGGGGCCTTGATCGTGATGGGGCCACAGTGGCTGTTGGAGGAGAGTGAGAGCGAACCTCCTTTGACATGTCCCTGGCTGCTCAGGTTCATCTCTTGAGTGCATACCTACTTTTTCTTCTTTTTTCCCTAAGGCAAGATCTCACTCTGTTGTCCAGGTTGGAGTGCAGTGGCACAATCTTTGCTCGCTGCAGCCTCAACCTCCAGGGCTCAAGTGATCCTCCTGCCTCAGCCTTCTAAGTAGCTGGGATCACAGTTGCACACCACCACACATGGCTAGTTTTTGTATTTTATGTAGAGATGGAGTTTTGTCATGTTGCCCGGGCTTGTCTGAAACTCCTGGGCTTAAGTAATCTGCCTGCCTTGGCCTCCCAAAGTGCTGGGATTACAGGTGTGAGCCACCGTGCCCAGCTCATACCCACTTTTTCCATCATCATACCCAGCACATGCCTTTCCTGGCACTGTACAGGTTGTTTGGGTTGGGAGGAATGGCCAGTCTGTGTTGGCATCAGCTTTCCCTGTCCACCATCCTGCTCTTCATGTTGAAGCCAGCCTCTTTGTCTTCAAGATCATTTCATTTCTGGAGCTTTGTGGCCCTTCCTTGCCCTGGGCCTTGGCCTGGGCTGTTTCAGTGTACCCACAGGGCCTCCTTAGCATCATAGCTAGGGGGACAGCTGTGTGTTTTGGTCCCTCTGTTTACAGAAGGGCTGGGACCCCCGAAAACCCAGCCATGTTTTTGTGTGGTCAAGTAGGTATAGCCCAGATGCTATCACAAAAGATTCCCATAGGCCAGGCGCTGTGGCTCAAGTCTGTAATCCTAGCACTTTGGGAGGCCGAGGCAGGTGGATCACGAGGTCAAGAGATCGAGATATTCCTTGCCAACATGGTGAAGCCCTGTGTCTACTAAAAATACAAAAACAACAACAACAACAACAAAAAACTAGCTGGGCATGGCGGTGAGCACCTGTAGTCTCAGCTACTTGGAAGGCTGAGGCAGGAGAATTGCTTGAACTAGGAAGGCAGAGGCTGCCATGAGCCGAGATTGTGCCACTGCACTCCAGCCTGGGCAAAAGAGTGAAAGTCCCTTTCTCAAAAAAAAAAAAAAAAAAAAAGAAAAGAAAAAAGGCTCCCATCTTCTCTTCCCAGGTAGATGAGGATGCTCTTGGCTTGTATTTACATAACCAAGGGGGCCACTTCAGTGTCATGAGGTACAGAAGACCAGCTTCTCTAGAGTAAGAAAAACATCAAAATAAATCATGGAACTTCACTCACTTTCATTTTAGATAAGGAAACTAGGGCCCAGAGACCACATGCACCTTCCCCAAAGGCCCACAGCCATGCATCTGACCCTTCCACATGTTGCTTATCCTTTGTGGATGGTGCAAGGTCAGATGCCCGGCTGGGGCCAGCTCTGAGCCTTGGTGGCCTTTCCCAGGACCAATCCTTCTGTTTTCTCTTTGTGGATCCACAGGTGAGGTCGCAGGAGCTGGTGCAGCCAGCGTCATGTCTGCCCTGACTGACAAGGCCATCGTGAAGAAGGAACTGCTGTATGATGTGGCTGGGAGTGACAAGTACCAGGTCAACAACAAACACGATGACAAGTACTCGCCACTGCCCTGCAGCAAAATCATCCAGCGGGCGGAGGAGCTGGTGGGGCAGGAGGTGCTCTACAAGCTGACCAGCGAGAACTGTGAGCACTTTGTGAACGAGCTGCGCTATGGAATCGCCCGCAGTGACCAGGTGCGTCCTCTCCCTATGTCGCCTTCCCCAGGAACCAGACCATTCCCTCAGCTGATGGGGGCTGGGCATGGTTATGGAGGCATGTAAGAGACAAAATAGCAGAGACAGAATTCTTGCCCTTGAGGACGTCGCAGTTGTGGTGGGGACAAGGGTGGGGAGAGAGGCAAGTTGGCAGTGCAGATCAGTGTGGTCAGGGGCGGGGGCGGGGGCGGGGGTGGGTGGCCAAGGAAGGGAGTCACAGACATGATAATCATTCCTCTGGCCAAGCCCTCCCTGGCCACCTGTTCCTGAGATGGCCCGCGCCAGCCCTACAGGCAGGTTTTAGGACCCACTACCTTACAGGTTGGGAAACTGAGCTTAAGTAACTTGTCTGCAGCCATTCCTTTCATCAAACACATCTTTGTTGAGTCCCCAGACCTGGTACCTCTCCTTCCCTGTGCCGATAATTAGCAGAGTCAGGATTTGAAGCCCAGGTCTGTGTGGCTTATAAACAGCACTGTCTGGGCTGGGCGTGGTGGCTCATGCCTGTGATCCCAGCACTTTGGGAGGCCGAGGTAGGCGGATCACGAGGTCAGCCTGGCCAATATGGTGAAACCCTGTCTCTACTAAAGATACAAAAATTAGCCGGGTGTGGTGGCGCGCGCCTGTAGTCCCAGCTACTTGAGAGGCTGAGGCAGGAGAATCCCTTGAATCCGGGAGGCGGAGGTTGCAGTGAGCCAAGATTGCGCCACTGACTCCAGCTTGGGAGACAGAGCGAGACTTTATCTCAAAACAAAACAAAAAAAATAGCTGTGTCCTCAGCCTGGCCGAACCCCAGGGGTGAATCTGGGAGACCCTCGGGGATGCAGTTTTGTTTATTACTTGATGTTAGTTTTGCCATCCCTCTCCTTTCAATCTCTTTTTCTCCCGTTTTCTTGCACGTCTTTCCCATCCCTGTCAGGCACTTCCATCCTTTTTTTCTTTTGCATAGGTGGAAGAACACTGGGAAGGTTCTTATATGGCTGTTGATGCAAAAGACTAATTTTTTTCAATGAATGATTAGGTTAAGATCCATCAGACTGTTTACTTTTATTATTTTTATTATTTTTTTGAGGTCCAATTTCTTCTTTCCTGGTCAGTGTGGCAGTTAAGAGCATGGGCTCCTGGAGTCAGGCCAACCAGGCCTGGACCAGGTCTCTGCTTCCTGCCAGCTGTCTGATCTCAGGAGAGTTAGTCCCGCTCCCTACACTTTGGTAAAATACGAATGATAATACTCATCTTGGAGGATTACTATGTGAGTTAAATAAAAGCATGTTTATTCTTAGCACAGTGGCAAAAAATGCACTGAATACCTTGTAGTAGTAAAAATCGTCATAATTATCCTCATCTTATCATTGTTACTATTTCTCCTTGGTTCACCCAGTGCCTGATCCACTGGCCTCTGTGGGCCACAGCAACTTGAATGGGAAGACATTGACTAACACCATGTATCGGAGTCATCTCACTTTCTTCACACTGCTGATAAGCAGCTGTGCTTACTATGCCAGCCCTCATGTTTGTAGGCGGCCCCTATACCTGTCTGCAGTGAGATATTAATTACCTTTGAATGGGTATCCTCTTATTTTTTTCTTCAATCAGCTGGGTTATTATTGTTCAACAGCTATTTATATATGAATGTTAAAGGCGATCAGCTGAGAAATTGAGTAGGTGGTACACAGCTAGCTAGGTAAAGAAAGGGCAGTATTGCCAATGTTTGTGAAGATTCTAGTCTATGGGTCATGGTCTGGGTTTAACTTCCCTGAGAGTTTATAAGAGCTTTCTTCTGGGGAATCAGTGGGCAGGGCCATGAGAAGACAAGAACTTTGTTAGTACCTTAATATTGTCAGGTTAAAAGGGTGATGCTCGGTGGCTCACGCCTGTAATCCCAGCACTTTGGGAGGCCGAGGCGGGTGGATCACGAGGTCAAGAGATCGAGACCATCCTGGTCAACATAGTGAAACCCCGTCTCTACTAAAAATACAAAATACAGGCATGGTGGCACATGCCTGTAATCCCAGCTACTCAGGAGGCTGAGGCAGGGGAATTGCCTGAACCCAGGAGGTGGAGGTTGCGGTGAGCCGAGATCGCGCCATTGCACTCCAGCCTGGGCAACAAGAAGGAAACTCCGTCTCCTAAAAAAAAAAAAAAAAAAAAAAAGGGTGATGCTGTGAAAGCAGGAATGCAGGGGATGGTGGCACTTGGCATATCTATCTCTTAGGGATAACAGCCTTCAAAACATTTGTCTCTTGTTTTTCTTTTTTTAAAATATTTTTTCATTTCGGGTGTCTTGCATTGGATTTTTCTTAAAACAATTTTTTTTTTTTTAGGCCAGGTGTGGTGGCTCACACCTGTAATCCTAGCACTTTGGGAGGCTGAGGTGGGTGGACCACTTGAGGTCAGGAGTTTGAGACCAGCCTAGCCAACGTGGTGAAACTCCATCTCTACTAAAAATACAAAAATTAGCTGGGCATGGTGGTGGGCACCTGTAATCCCAGCTACTCTGGAGGCTGAGGCAAGAGAATCGCTTGCACCCGAGAGGCAGAGGTGGCACTGAGCCAAGATTGTGGTACTGCACTCCAGCCTGGGTGACAGAGCAAGACTCAGTCTCAAAAAAAAATAAAAAGTTTTTTTTTTTTTTTAAATAGAGACAAGGTCTCACTATGTTGCCAAGGCTGGCCTTGAACTCCTAAGCTCAAATGATCCCAAAGCTGGGATTATAGGCGTAAGCCACCGTGGCCAGCCACATTTGTCTCTTGAGTCCTACTTGATGAGGTGTGGCTGTCATTTTGGTATCTCTTTTTACTAGCATCCTAGAAATTCCTTTCAGCTCTCTGCTGTATTAATGCTTTTATCCTCTGTAGTTCACATCTTTCTGTTTTTTGGTTTATGCCTTTGTTTTGGTAGATTACTTCTTCTAATAGTTTACTGAGAAATGGTACATTTTAAAAAGATCCCTAGGTGGGCATGGTGGCATGTGCCTGTAATCCCAGCTACTTGGGAGTCTGAGGCACGAGAATCACCTGAACCTGGGAGGCACAGGTTGCAGTGAGCGGAAATCATGTCATTGCACTCCAGCCTGGGTGACAGAGCAAGTCTCAGTCTCAAAACAAAACGAAACAAAACAAAAAAATAACCCAAAAAACAAACAAAAATGATCTTGCATGCCTGAAAATGTATTCATTTTATCCTCACATTTGATTACTGGTTTGGCTGGGTATAGAATTCTAGGTTAGAAATAGTATTTTTTGGCTGGGCGCGGTGGCTCAAGCCTGTAATCCCAGCACTTTGGGAGGCCGAGGTGGGTGGATCACGAGGTCAAGAGATCGAGACCATCCTGGTCAACATGGTGAAACCCCGTCTCTACTAAAAATACAAAACATTAGCTGGGCATGGTGGCATGTGCCTGTAATCCCAGCTACTCAGGAGGCTGAGGCAGGAGAATTGCCTGAACCCAGGAGATGGAGGTTGCGGTAAGCCGAGATCGTGCCATTGCACTCCAGCCTGGGTAACAAGAGTGAAATTCCGTCTCAAAAAAAAAAAAAAAAAGAAATAGTATTTTTTTTTCAGAATTTTGAAGGCATTGATTTATTGTTCTCTAGCTTTTGCCGTTGTGATAGAGAAGTCTGAAGCTGTTCTGATTTTTGATCCTTTCTATGTGATCTATTTTTTCTTTCCAGAACCATGTAGAATCTTCTCTTCATCCTCAGAGTCCTGAAATGTTATTACCTTGCATGGGTCTATTTTCATGTATGGTGCTGGGTACTCAGTGACTCCTGTTGATTTGGAAACTCACTTTCTTTAGTTCTGGGAAATTTTTCGTTTTGTGTTCTCTGGCACTGCTATCATTAGGCTGTTGGACCCCTAGACTGCTCCTCTGATTTTCTTATCTTCTCTCTCTTGTTTTCCATTTATGTCTGTATTTATTTATTTATTTACTAAGACAGAGTCTTGCTTTGTTGCTCAGGCTGGAGCACAATGGTGTGATCTTGGCTTACTGTAACCTCCACCTCCTAGGTTCAAGTGACTCTCCTGCCTCAGCCTCCAGAGTGGCTGGGACTATAGGAATGTGCCACCACGCCGGGCTAATTTTTGTATTTTTATTAGAGATGGGATTTCACCATATCAGCCAGGCCGGTCTGGAACACCTGACCTCAAGTGATCTTCGTTTCTACTTCCCAAAGTGCTGGGATTACAGGTGTGAGCCACTGTGCCTGGCCCATTTATATATCTTTTCAAATTTGAAAATGGACAATTTTTGACAGATTTAGGTATAATAGAAGTTTTTTTTTTTTGAACCAGCAGTGACAGTATTAGCATAAGAGAGAAACATGATAAACAATTGAGTTTCCTTGGTGATTCTGCATCACAATCAAGGTTTTACTGACTCATGGTAAAACTCATACTCCTACGCAGCAGTAAACTCCAAATACAGAGTACAAGACAACCTTGGGAAGCAATAAGATTCTTTTTGAAATTCAGGGTGTGACATTAAGAATATTTGGTATATCCTAATCATCTCATTTAGTTATTCTTTCAGCAGTTATTAATAGAATAAAGAACAGGACTGGCCAGGCATGGTGGCTCATGCCTGTAATCTGAGCACTTTGGGAGGCCAAGGTGGGCAGATCGCCTGAGGTCAGGAGTTTGAGACCACCATGGCCGACATGGTGAAATCCTGTCTCTACTAAAAATGCAAAAATTAGCTGGGCATGGTGGTGGGTACCTGTAATCCCAGCTACTCAAGAGGTGGAGGCAGGAGAATCGCTTGAACTCAGTAGGCAGATGTTGCAGTATACTGAGATTGTGCCACTGCACCACAGAGAGAGACTCCATCTCAAAAAAAGAGAGAGAAAAGAACAGACCCACAAGTTTATGTAAGTAGAAAATTTTGTGTCAACACAAAACTGTTGCATAATTCGTAAAGTACATTGTCATGGGTAACAAATGCTATTTTTAATTTTAACTTTTTTAGAGAAAGGGTC